GCAGGAGTTCATGCTTTCTGCGTCTGAAAATGATGCACATAAGTTGCCACTACTGGTCAGGAATAAATACTGAAGTAAAATGAAAATAAAGATTTATATAGCTTGCTGCATATGGTTTTGGTACTGTAATAATTGTGATGCATATGAATCGAGAATGTAAAATTCAAAAATAAATTCAGATCTTACAGTAATTTGGCAAAAAAAGACAAATGAAAATGTTCATAAATTTAGTGCCAACAAAATGTATTATTGTGTTGCCTATTTCTGATAGATACTCTTTAAAAAACAGGCACCTGCCCTTATGCTGCATCAAATATTAGGAATACTGTAAAAGCCCAAGACAAATATTAGAAACAGGTCTCGCAGCAAATTGACAGCAGAGCTGTTACAGACTGAGGCCATTGTTTGAATTTACTTCAGTTAAGTCCTTTAATGAGGACAGCGGCAGCTTGCTGGTTGTCCCTGGAGTCCCATCCTGTTAATTCTGTATCAGGCATCAGTGGGCTGTGTGCTCTGAATGGAGCGGGATCAGTAGTGAGCTCGGTACCTGAGGACAATAGATCTGCTTCTTGGTTTGAGAGCTTCCACCAAGTCCAACACACCAGTGGAAATGAAGTGTCCCTCAGACACTGGGTCTGGAAGTACGGTGCTTCTTCATATACCTACAACATGTGCGTTGCAGTTTATTTCTATTGTAACTAAAAATTGGTAAGAATTTATTATGATGTGTTCCTAATAAGTTTGACTAAAGCTACCTGCTGGGGATGAGCTGTTTAACTGTGAGCAGCTGCCTCTAGGGAGCTTCCTCTGTAACTACGGATTTGAGTTGCTGCCTTCAAGCGATCCAGCACTAAGAATTTTCCTATGTAAATATGTATTTGTAACTTTTTGGCAAATATTTTAATTAGCTGTGGTACTTACATACGGTCGGTGTTGCTCATTAATGAAATGTATTTGATAAGGCACAGAAAGTTATTTGAATGCAATGAAAGTTTGCTAGCCATGGTGGACTCAGAGAGCAGAAGGAATGGAGATCCTGTTCCCTTCAGATTTGTACAAAAGTAGTAATCTTTCACTGTGTTTGGTATTCTAGGATGTGATGTCCACATTCTTCCAGTTTGGGGCTTCCATCCAGCAAGAAGCCATCGTCATGCTGAAGATCATGCAGGATTATGATTGGCACGTGTTTTCTCTGGTGACCACCACCTTCCCTGGATATCGAGACTTCATCAATGTCATTAAGACCACAGTGGAAAATAGTTTTGTGGGCTGGGACATGCAGAATGTCATCATACTCGATACAGCCTTTGGAGATGCCAAGACCCAAATTCAGCTGAAGAAAATTCATTCATCCGTCATCCTGCTGTATTGTTCCAAGGATGAAGCTGTGTACATCCTGGATGAGGCTCGTTCCCTGGGCCTTACTGGCTATGATTTCTTTTGGATAGTTCCCAGCCTGGTTAGTGGTAACACAGAAATCACTCCCAAGGAGTTTCCTTCAGGACTAATTTCAGCATCGTATGATGAATGGGACTACAGTTTAGAAGCTCGGGTTCGGGATGGCCTTGGGATTATTGCCACTGCTGCATCAGCCATGCTGGAAAAATACTCCTTCATTCCTGAAGCCAAAACTAGCTGCTATGGACAACTGGAGAAAAATGACCGGCCATCTCACACCTTGCACAAGTAAGGCTTGTTGGTTTGGGGTGTTTTCCTTGCATAACCTTGGTAATTTTTCCATTTTATTGCTGTTATCTGTTTCTTGAAGGAGAATATTGTTTTCTGTTAATCCCATCACGCCCTTTTTAAGGAATGATTTTCAGATGTTCAAGGGCACATGCAACAGAACTTGCTACACCAACAACTGTGCGCATGGAAATGATGTTATGTGTCGTGGAGAATAAATACTGCTCTGGATCTGATGTAGGAGATGACAGAAACTGGTCTTGGAGGGTATGAAGCTGAGTTAATAAAATCATGCTGTTGTATACTTTAATTATGAGGTAAAATTGCCAAAATGTTCTGGAGGCTGTGCCTGAATCATTCGCCTCAGCCAGAACGTGGTAATATTTTAGAAGACAAGAGCTTTGCAGCATTAAAGAGGTGGCCCTGAAATTATAGACGTATTTGATTAGTTAGGCAGCTTTTAGCACCTAATGACTGAAATCTGTCACTTCTGCTTGTGAGGATTTTATTTTTGTCACCTGTACTAGAATAGTTGTAAAAAATTAATCAAAACATGAATCGAAATCAATATGGATATTTTCTTCAAACAGTTTGTCATGTGGAAACTGACAAGATTTAAATTGGGATCCTTGATCTCCCTTTTTTTTTTTTTTTTTTTTTTTTTTTGTTTTGGCCTTTTAATTATCCTTTTTTAGACGTGGTGCTCCTGATGTTGCTAAATGTATCCAAAATGTTGCATAATACCTGCCACACAGTAATATATTTCTTTATCTGGTTTGTGAGACAAAGTAAAGGGAATGTTGGATGTTTTTCAATAGCTTTTTACAATATCTCATATGGAGCCTACTAAGCAGTATTTATGAAAGTTGCTCTGACCAAATATTACAGATGAAGGGCTTTCTACTGAAAAGCAGAATGGAACTGGCACGAGAAGGAAAGTCAGTGCTGATTTCATATAGGAGATTGTGGAACATTTTTCACCTTCTGAGATGTATGTGCATGTTTAGATTAGGGGTTGATGGCCATATGATGTCCTGGAACTGTTGTTGTTTTCCATGAAAACAGCGTCTTAGTGCACAACATTCTTCAGAAGCTCTCTTAAACCAAATACTGCCAAGTAAAAGGATTTTTAACATCGCACATGTATTTCATAAACAGTGTGACCAAAGTTCAGCAACCTGCACAGTTCTCCCTAGAGAGGCTTGCTTTTAGTATGATGCTTCCACTTTTCTTTGGTCTCGCCTTTCCTGTTCCTAAGCCCCTGCCTCTAAGACTACACGTTTGCCAGCAGTGTTGCAGAAAATCTGTGATTCTTTTTCTGCTGCCCCGTTTGCCGCTGGGGAGTGACAGGAGGCAGCAATGGGGTGGCTCCCCAGTCCATGGCTCTGGGAAAGCTCTCGCGTGGTCCCTCGTGTCAGGGCAGAGCAGCTGGACGGCACTGCCGGGGTGGCCATCCTGCCTGCATCCTGTGTGTGGTCCTCATATGGTGCTGAATGCATGTGCTGACCATGCCAGATAAAAGTGAAAGCTAATGGCGTCCCGTTAACCAACTTCTGTGCCTTAACAGTGGGAGCTGCACAAAGAAGTTCACTATTAATATTTGAACACCAGTTTCTGTGAAGTTAAGTTGTATTCTGTCCTCAGAGGTGTTGGTGTTTAGAACACTGCAGTTCAGTTGGATGGGTCACAGAAACTTGAACCTGTTTCGAACAGGACTCCTACTCCAGTGTTCTGGTAATACACCAGTGCAGACTTGAATTAGGTATTCAATATTCAGCATAAGTTGTCTTTCTTCAAACAATCTTTTTTTTTTTTTTTTTTTTTTTTCATTAAATCTGTAAACCAACCAA